GGCCCCACCACCAGACCCAGGCCACGCCAACCAAGCACAATGCTAACCACACCTTCAGAACCCAACCGACTCATTTATGCTCTAAATAACTACCTGTACAGGCATGCATCTATATTGTAGTCCAATACTAACTACACAATATTTACTGACACTGAGCGGTGAACATAACACTGTGCAGACGTGCAACATTCTGCTGCAGTATAATTCACTATTTGATATAACACTAACATTCCTGACAATAGACCTCAATAGTCATCTTTTACGGTGTACATGCCTTTTTAATAAAAATGTTGAATGGAACATTCAAAAATCTAAATAAATATAACTTAAATATACATGACCTCTTAAATTAAAATAAAGTGAACATTAACACCAATATTATCATTTATAAAATGCTATGACAAAAAAAAATAACATAAGCAGCAGATTTTTTAATTAAATATACATACCAACTACAAAATAAGCGGGTATTAAAGTGTAAACGGACAACAAAACGGAAATGGAAATGAAAAGGCCTGATGGTGGCGCTAAATCAGAGCCTATTACCTGTTCTCAGTCTTTTTCTCATCATGCATCTTGTGTGTAGTGATCCAATATCGTTACCATAGCCTTGCCCTTTAACAGTTATTACGAGCCCTGGCTCAGCCTTACCAAGAGCCCGGCGCCTAGCTTCTTACAGGCAAAGTCACTGATCAAGTCCTTGAAGTCCAGCTTTCTAGCCAACTGGCTTTCAATGGACAGCATGGCAAGACTGCAAAGCATTATGGGGGGACAGGGCTGTGGAGCCTAAAGATGGATCTGTTGGTCCTGGCACCAGGGGGAGGGACAACTGATTTAGTATGAATAGCTGCTAAAAATGTACCTGCATTTATTAAATGTCAGCTAAAAGAGGAGTGAAATGAAAAACCTCTGAATTTTCTGTGAAGATATTAACAGTAGGCCTACTTAAAGGTGGGCTAGGTCATTTTGGAGAAACCAGCTCGAGTGCGCTAGAATTTGAAAATACACAACCGGAAAAAATCTGCCACTTCCTTACAGAGCCCCTCCTTCAACACACACATGACCAATGAGGGCACGAGATAAGTTTGTGCACAGATGGAAGGCTGACAGGCAGGTAGGTCATCCAGTTATTTTAGCCGGGCCGGCTCAAATGATTGGTCGTGCTTTTTACAGCGCCACGGCTTCCACAGATGACATTTTTTATGGATTTTAGGGATGCTCCGATCGATCGGTCACCGATCGATATCGGCCGATACTCACTCTCTACCGATCGATCGGTGCTCTCTAAACATACCGATCGCGAGAGCCGATCGCATGACGTAAAATGCATAACACTTTTCTCTGTGTGCGGCAAACCAAGCTCGCCAAAATGGCGACCTTCACCGGTCTGGCATTATTTTAAGGTGTCCGAAAAAGACAGTAAAATAGCGGTATGCAACGTGTGTGAAGCAGAAATCCTGCAGCTCCGCCCGCCGGACAGGTAAGCGCAGCGAAACACACACACAGGGAGAACCAGACCGCAGTTCATTTCCTCATATTCCAAACGAGAAATTACGGTAGCAAATCACCCGGTTCTTTACGACCAGAACTATTAACGGGATACAAACCGGAGGAACCAGGCATGGAGGGAGGTGGCAGAGACAGTGGGTGAAACTGGTAGGTTTTCGTCTGTTTGGGGAGTTTATATATATATATATATTGCTCGCATAAAATCCCCGGGGTTTTTTGCTTTGTATGTCGGGGGCGGGAGATTCATGTGATTGGTTGTTGGTCGCGTTGCTCGCAAAAAATCCCCAAGCTTTCAGACACGCCCAGCTCCAAGATTTTCAAGATGTTTGAAAAGCTGCTGTGTGGACGTACCGTAAGAGTTAGACCTAACACACTTAGCTATTTGATCTACCTCTGGAACAAGCTAAACTAGTTATTATACATATATTTATTCTTCATTGTCGGGTCACTCATTACTGGATCAGTGAGCTTTATGAGATACTGACAGGCTGTCAGGAGAGGGAGAGAGGGGGGAGGGGGGAGAGAGAGAGAGAGGGAGAGAGGAAAAGAGAGCGCTTCCGCTAATTTATCCCGTGTTATTATCCAAAGTGAATGTAAACTTGAATAATGTACATCATTTGAATGTAATAATTAAGTTGATTGTTGTTTGTGGAAGCTCCAGTGAATGAGCCCCATTAACTGAGTTTTAAACATCATTTTAAATGGAAGATTTAAAGTGATGTTTAAATCTTCCATTTCGCCCACGATCGGATCGGCGATCGGTATCGGCCGATACTGATTCCGGCGATCAGTGATCGGCCCCGAAATTGGCGATCGGAGCATCCCTAATGGATTTGTTGTCAAAGCACTTAAGATATTCATTGCCATCGGGATGTTAAGAGCATTCCATGGAATATAACAAAAAGCGTATTTTGAGCCGGTTTCTCAAACTTACCTACCCCACCTTTAATGTCAGCAAAACATTACAATTATTATTTACAATGGACTACGCTTAGCTAACAGACTAATTACCACCACTCATGGACCACACCCACCTTTTCTTTTGAAAAACTGGGTGACATAATGTCGCCCTTTAGTCCCTCCCTATTGTCTTTATCTCCTTTATTTTCTTTCTTGAAAGCCTGACTTTGTTAGTCGTTGAGACATCGTACACACGTAAGTACTAGCATCCCTCCTCACATGCTCTCACTAGTCTCTCTGCTAGAAAGGGCCGGTGCTGCACAGTGTTTGGAGGCAGGAACCAAACCATTACATGTAAATAGAGGGGGGTGTTCGATGCTTTGGATAATTAACTTTTGGAAGAAAGTAAGTTAAATGAATCATACGTTTAGTGAGTACATCATCAATATGACGTTATATTAATGTTAATTATTGATGATTGATGAAAGGTTACTTAAACATTTTTTCTTAATGTTCTAAATTTGTTTGGGGCCCCTGTCAGTCACGGGCCCTTAGAATCATCCTAACTTTTCACCCCCTTACGGCGCCCCTGATAGCAACTACAACATGTTCAACATTTGATGGTAAAACTTACCCAGATAATTTAGTTGAAGGAAAATATTGTGTTGTTGGTTTCATACTGAGAAGGCTTGACAGACTTGAACCAAGTAACAGCCATGGTTAACTTCAACCAAGCCCCCAGTCCGTCAGACGTTGAAGAAAATATTCATAGAGGCCAAACGGTGCTACTATAACTTCAGTGACGTCATTGGGCTCAAAAGTATAATAGCAAATATATTTGTTTAACTAAATCAACTGTATGATAACTTGAATAGCCCTTATTTAAATCACAACGGCCTAAAAGGTATACAAAAAATTGCAAATAGCCGAAACCAGAGGAGTTCTGGATTGGAGGCGGGGCTTATGTAAAACGAAGTGTGCATTCTTCATGGGCCCAGATACAGATACTTTTGCTCTACACAGGCAGGCCATTTTGGTTTCATGCGCCACTGAGCAACTTTCAACGCTATATCCCGTTATGTTTATACATCAATGCCTTTAACCAAGGTGCTTATGTTGCCTAATCTCCCAATGTTCGGTGTCACAAACCTGCACTTTGAATCACACTGACCTTTTCCCTACAACTAATGTGCAGTATAAAAATGGTTGCCTTTCCTTTGTTTCCTACAAAAAAGAAAGAAGGAAATAAGACTGGCTAAGAACTTGGTAGTGAACAGGAACATGTAATCCTGTATTCTTGAGTTCCACAGCCATTACGTTATGGGTAAATGGCTTCCTCGCTCCTAATAGCAACATTTATCTATTAATGTGGTCAGAGCCTGATTGAGACTTCATCCAATAATAAAACCACAAGGCACTTGTTCACATTCAGAGGATCAGTCATCGTTAAGCATGTACTTTCTCTATAAAACTTATATCACACAAACCCATGAAGCAAACCTCTCAAAATAAAATCTTAATTCAAATGACAGTAACATAGATCATACTCCTAAAAATGATTTTTGTAAGGAGCTTGTCAAAAAATGCTAGGAAGAAGGATAGGAATGAAAATAAAGTAGGAAATGGGGTTGGGATATTAAACTTGACCTAAATTATGTGCAATTTTGACTCACAGTGGGGGGGAATGTGCATGTGAAGCTTCCCCTCAGCACACTGTTTAAATAACTGCCAATCTTATACAGCTGAAATTCCCTTTTAACTGGCGTCTCCTACAAAGTCAGTGAGTTGAGAATCCAGTAATGTGGGAACTTAAACATGAAAGTACAAGGAGAATCCTCTTGGCACGATAAGCGAACTGTGCAGGAAGAAAGCTGTATTTACGCCCTCTTTTTAACTAATGTCTTTATGTACATTTGAAAGGAAGGGTAGTAAAAATACTGTGAAAGCAAACCTATTTGCATTATGAACGACATTGAGAGCGCACCTGAGCGCGATATCTCTGTGGTCCTCCTCCACTTCAATGAAATCAAACTTATTTTCCACTTTCATGAGTTGAGCTGACTTGAAGGAAATATAACTAATTTATATTGATGAAGTGGAATTTGGGCTTTGTGATGAAGGACAATCATTGTTGCTTTCCACACATAACAATGAATTATTGCAATAACAGATCAATACAGCTAAGTGGATGGCAAGATAACAATGTATAAACAGTACATTAAGTATATAGCAGTTTTCAGACATCGTTCACAAATCTTGATCAGATAAAAACATCTTTAAATACCTCCAATATAAAAAGTGCCATTGGAATAAATAGAGAAAAGTACTTGATTGCAAGTTAAGACCTTAAAGCTGGAAAATCGTTTTCAAATATTTCAAAATGAGTTTTACTCCCGGTCTATTTAGCAAGTGTTGGTGAAATTGTTCAAGTGGTACACACCTCAGTTTGACAGGTAAATGCTGTTCTACAAAGACAGAGAAGACAAACAGTGACTTTTCCACATTATAAGTTTCCTCTTGGCAGTGCAGCTAAAGTTTTAGTGAAAAAGTGGAGGTCTTAGGGTGTTGGCCACAGAGCCGGCTGCTCATACCTTCTGTGTCCTGGCCCCAGCTGTGGGTTAGCAAAGAGAGGATTGCCATTCCTGTCCCCAGCCATCTGACGAGCCACCACCCCCGTCGCATCTTCTGTCAAGCCTTATTGCCTGCCCACCTGGACACAAAAAAAAACGGGAGAGAGGATTTTTCATTCATGTCTTATTGAGCCTTCCTGCCCTTACGCAATAGCTGTGACCAGCCAACACACACATTAACAAACATGCACATCTACCTACAGCAATATCATTAGGTTAGTCTTTTCCAAGAACAGCACAATACAAATGTACTGTCAGTAAATAAAATAATCCACTGGGTAATCTGGATCAATCTGAATGTATTCAGTTTGGATTTATGGATTACCCCAAAAACGGGATTTATTTCTCAAATGCAGCAATATAATCAGATATATACAGTATGTAATCCTTGATGCATCGTCTCATGGGCTGGGCTGTATATCAAAACGTCTATCAATACATACCAATATGCATAATATCTATTTTTCTTGACATATTTTGTCCCTTCCTTAACAGACAATGCATGATTCGCTACATCCCAGCCAGAGCATTAAGGTCAGCTGACCAGCTGCTGCTGGTTATGCCCAAGACCAGGCTCAAAACCCGAGGGCACCGAGCATTCACAGCAGCTGGCCCTAGGCTCTGGAACAGTCTGCCCCTCCATGTGAGGTCAGCCGAGACCCTAGGGTTTTTTTTTAAATCTACTCTTAAAACTCACTTCTTCTCTCTGGCCTTCTAGTCTGAGCGGAGCACAACTCCTGACATTTCCCTGTGTGTTATTTTTTATTTGTGCTGTTGTATTTGTTGTAAAGTGTTTTTTATTGTAAAGTGGGATGGGACCAATCTGGTTAAATAAAGGTTTGAAATGAAATGAAAATGTATGTACAGCACTTTGGCTCGACCAACATTTTTTTTTTAAAATGTGCTATATAAATAAAACTTGATTTGATTTGATTGTTTTCCACTAATGAGAGCGTGATCAATTTTTTCCAATCAATCTGACTCGTTACTCTCTGCAGACATGCATCCAAACAACATGTTGCAAGCTCAAACAGCCGGCTAACTGCTATTAGCATCTGCAGGCATCTTGAATGGGTCATGCATAAGTTTGCTTCATTTTGGTGGAATATGATTAACTACATCCATGATAAAATAAACTCAGACTAATCAATTATGCTGAAATGTATGTTAGAGAAGCTTCTCTAAAAAAAGTAGTATCTTTTTTTGCAGCCCTAACTACTTCTGATTAATGGAATTAATTAAAACTAACCCCAGCCTCCAGTCTCAAACTACGCCATTACAAACTTGTTAAAGCCTTCATCATTTGGTTCTCTAATTGTAATAACCCAGCACAGCTGAATAGTTTAGATAATAATATAGATCCAAGATAAAACTGCCAGAAGGACGGGACTTAAATGTTGCAATTTCAAATCAGTCTGCATTTCAACACCACGGACAGCGCCATGGCTTTATCGATACACTGCAAACATAGTCTATTGATATTTCAGAGCTATGGTCAGGGACATGGATTGTATCTTGCAAGAACATCAGTCATATGAACAATCAATGAATGCATGAATGAATAAGACTCAAATATATAGAGAGAGGGGATGGCAGGTTAACAAGCGGCATGCATTTTGGTCATTTTAAGGCGGATGGCATCCCCCCCGTCATACAGGAGCATATCAGGTGGAATGTAATGGCATAACCCCGCACAAACCAAACTTCCTCTTCAGCAGTCATAACATTCTATGGAAAAAATCACAAGCCGCCAGCTCCAAAGAATCAGTCAGAGCAAACTGCAGCAAAGACATTAAATCAACTCCATGCATTATGACGGTGCATAAATAAAACTGACAGACAGGACTAACAGTAAATACACCCATTCAGGCTCTAGTGGAAATAACAAGCAAAGCAGTGTGAACAGATTGTATGTTGAGCCTTGTTGTGCATTGCACACACAAACCCTTAGCACACAGCTTCTCTGAGCTGGAGGAAAGCAAGGTGTCAATAAGAGGAATAGAGGGGTTTTTAGCTTCTGTCGGAGCTATTTGACGTCACAACCTTCCTCACAAGGCTTATTGTCAGTGCAGGAGATAAGCTGTGAAATCATCTTTCATCGCATATGCTAAAGGGACGGGAGAGGACCCACAAGCATCAACACTATCAAAGCGTGTTGGAGAAAATCTAATTCTCTGGCTCGCATCACCTTCGTTTGTCACGAGTTATTTCCCTCTCCTTTCCACTCACACACACACACACTGTACAGTATGTATTATTGACTTTATTTCTTACTAATATATGCAGACATAAACCCATACAAATGTTACCACACCCAACCCAACGTTCTCCGACAGTAGACATTTTGCACAAACAGCACGTGGACAGCAGGATATAACCGTGTTCTCTTCTGTGCAACAAGAAGGATTTCACACTGGTTTCCTATTTTCTCATTGCCTTCTCATCTTTTGGGCTCCCAGTGGTGTTCCCTTTTGAAGCAGATTTGATTTCCCACATTCGAACATCTATCTTTCTTAACAGGGCTGAGTAAGATTGCTTTGATCCCTTTCACACGAGAGAACTCAGACCTGAACAGCTAGCCACCCTGAAGAGGGAAGTCATTTATTTCTTCAGCTTCCTCCAAATCTCCATGGTTGACATGGGAACGCTGCTTCTCATTTACATAGGCTAACCACGATGTTCCTTCAAACTGAATGAACAGGGAAAGATTGCTGACTGAGTGCTGAGAGAAAAATGACCCCTAATACCCCGGTGTCCACTTTAGTCCTCTCATCACATCCCAGGAGTCACGATATATGTTGTCTTGCTTTCAGCAACAATACAATGCTTTCATGAAGCTCTAAGTGCAACAGCTGAAATCCACTCTGCTCTAATGCACATCCCACACTCTAACCACAACTCCCTCCAAGTCAAGTGAATCTGCTTTGTCTATATATTTAGTATGCCTTCCGTCATATCTTTGGTGCAGGGGAAATGTGATTAAACTTATGATGCGGGTGTGGACAAGAATGAGAAGACAGTGTTTAAGGGTGCAGATAGGTGAATGAAGCAATCCCAGTTATAGATTACACAGACAGTCAAAATGAAATTCTTTATCCCCTAAGTGCAGGGGTTTTACACTCCCTAGAAGAAATACAACTGCTTGTCTATCTCTTTCTTCCTGTCAGTGTTTCTTCGATCGCCTCTCATCCGCCATCGAGTTCCCTTTCCACGTCTTCCTGTTTGTGCGCTTTGGTGTTGACAGACTGTCAGAGATTTCTCAATAACAGAAGTAGCTACTTTTTTATTAACTTTTAAAAGCCAGAAATGTCACCAACAGTGGGCACGCCATAATGTCAAGTTTGTTTTGTATTAAAGGCAAAGCACCTAAACACCAAACAGGCGCACTGAAGGTTTATATTTGGTGGCCAAGAAGTGACAACAAATGTATTACTAATTAGTAGTCATTGACTGCTTGCAAATGACTGAACAAGCAATTACAAATAGTTTCACGATTACATCAACATATCTTCCAGGTACATTTGATTTCTATACAATATCAAATTAGAAATTAAACTCTAGCATTTAAACTCATGAGATAGTAAATACACTGAACAAAAATATAAATGCAACACTTTTGTTTTTGCTCCCATTTTTCATGAGATGAACTCAAAGATCTAAAACATTTTCTATATACACAAAATAACCATTTCTCTCAAATATTGTTCACAAATCTGAAAAAATCTGTGATAGTGAGCACTTTTGCCGAGATAATCCATCCCACCGCATATCAAGATGCTGATTATACAGCATGATTATTGCACAGGTGTGCCTTAGGCTGGCCACAATAAAAGGCCACTCTAAAATGTTCAGTTTTATCACACAGCACAATGCCACAGATGTCGCAAGTTTTGAGGGAGCATGCAATTGGCATGCTGACAGCAGGAATGTCCACCAGAGCTGTTGCCCGTGAATTGAATGTTCATTTCTCTACCATAAGCCGTCTCCAAAGGCGTTTCAGAGAATTTGGCAGTACATCCAACCGGCCTCACAACCGCAGACCACGTGTAACCACACCAGCCCAGGACCTCCAAATCCAGCATGTTCACCTCCAAGATCGTCTGAGACCAGCCACTCGGACAGCTGCTGCAACAATCGGTTTGCATAACCAAAGAATTTCTGCACAAACTGTCCGAAACCGTCTCAGGGAAGCTCATCTGCATGCTCGTCGTCCTCATCGGGGTCTCGACCTGACTCCGGTTTGTCGCCGTAACCGACTTGAGTGGGCAAATGCTCACATTCGATGGCGTCTGGCACGTTGGAGAGGTGTTCTCTTCACGGATGAATCCCGGTTTTCACTGTTCAGGGCAGATGGCAGACAGCGTTGCAAGGATCTGTACATAATTCCTGGAGGCTGAAAACATCCCAGTTCTTGCATGGCCAGCATACTCACCGGACATGTCACCCAATGAGCATGTTTGGGATGCTCTGGATCGGCGTATACGACAGCGTGTTCCAGTCCCTGCCAATATCCAGCAACTTCGCACAGCCATTGAAGAGGAGTGGACCAACATTCCACAGGCCACAATCAACAACCTGATCAACTCTATGCGAAGGAGATGTGTTGCACTGCGTGAGGCAAATGGTGGTCACACCAGATACTGACTGGTTTTCGGACCCCCCCAGACCCCCCCAATAAAGCAAAACTGCACGTTTCAGAGTGGCCTTTTATAGTGGCCAGCCTAAGGCACACCTGTGCAATAATCATGCTGTCTAATCACTCAGCATCTTGATATGCCACACCTGTGAGGTGGGATGGATTATCTCGGCAAAGGAGAAGTGCTCACTATCACAGACTTTTTTCAGATTTGTGAACAATATTTGAGAGAAATGGTTATTTTGTGTATATAGAAAATGTTTTACATCTTTGAGTTCATCATGAAAAATGGGAGCAAAAACAAAAGTGTTGCATTTATATTTTTGTTCAGTGTAAGTAGATTTATAAAAAGGTAGAGCTATTAGTCAAGGTGTTGATGAGGTTTTCTAACATGTGTCTAATTGCACTGAAGGATGCCATCTAAAAATCAGAGCACCAGGACGT